CATGTTCTTACTTATGTCGTATTATTTATTTACTATCCCTAATATTTTGGTAAGACAAATTTGAGCATTTATTAAATCATATATCATTTTTGTGAATTCCGATTTTATTTGTTAGCAAATTTAATTTATAAATGGGCGTGTATATAAAATCTTCAATCGGGTCACCCCCCAGAGTGATGCAACAATAATATCGAGCCTGAAAGACCCTTGGTCAACCTTCGTAACTCGTTTCCTGCGGAATGATTTTGCAAAAATGTGTAGTAGCCCAAATCGTGAAAGGATGTGGACGAAATAATTGAAAAAATAAAAAAACATTGTTAATTTTAATCATAATTGATAAATATTATTGCATGCATCGAAAAAAAAAACAGGAGCATTGCACATCTATAGGAACCCCAAGTGAGTCAATGAAGCGTACATTTAAAACGATTTCCGGAAYTATTATTTTACGCGCTTATAATAATAATTTATAGATCTCTCGCTTTTATATTATATCCAGTAACGCTTCATCATACTATTATTTGTCCGATAACGTTTTTAATATTTATGCTACGTTAAAACATAAGTGTTGTCAATGTTACATTGTTACTGGAAAAAAAAATGTGTTCTAATGTAATGGCTTGTTTTGTGGTTAATCTAGGACCCCCTGGTTAACACCTGTCGTATATACAATGTGTGTGTACGGTGTACCTATATATATGCTTGAACCTAGTTGATAATGTGATATAATTTCATTACGCATATAAAACAAAATGTAAAAGTATAAAATACAATACATTAATATACACTATAACTAAACATAWAAATATTATATTTTAATAAAAAATGAACTCAATTTTTAAGTCGATAATATTTTAAATATTGTACAATTCATATAGTTTATTAAAAACAGTATCATAAATTTGTTTCATAAAATAAATTTATAACATGATATATACAATTAAATGCATACAAACATCAAATCAACCGGTGAAAACTATTATTTTACGATTATGTATGTAAAAATGTCTTATAAAAACGGGTTTCTTATTTCTTAAAAAGTAATTCTAAACAATACTGTACAGTACGTTTATCCTTAAGATTACAAAATGTAATGCATTTCTCATTAGTTAAAATTTAATTTCAAGGTATTATGAAAAATAAAAAAACTTTTATTTAACACWCGAATATATTATTATTACACCTATCGGGTAAATGCGAGGGCGTAAACCGTCATGGTTTTTTTCCGTGGCCAACAGCTAAAATAAATGTTTGGCTAATTTTTCCAAACTGTTTTAATAATTTCCYTGCCTATATGAAGACTTAAACGTGCATATATTATTTAATTGTTTTCAAGCATTTGACACAACCCATCCAACTGTTGCTTATACAGTCACGTTTACTTTTAACACAGGGGCTGCATTACATGTAGCAAACCGTGACGAAAGTGTTTTACTTCGGCATGACATGTTTGAAAGAAAAGTTTTCCCCCCAAAAATAAAAATAAACATGTTCTTAAGGCACGAGATATCAGTTAGAAATAAAACAACGATTTAAAATATTGTGCAACACTATATTATACAAACGAAAATTAAGACTTTACAATTTATACATGTAMAAATACTAATTTTAATGACAATACCGAGTGTGTAGGCAAACTTGTCAACTTAATTTATGTAGATGCAGTGTATAATATATCACTTTCGAACCGTGTTTGGATTAGTTTACGTTTTAGAAAGTCATTGAAA